TGGGCTGCAGTTGCACTCCTCTTTAACCGCTAAGCTAAACATGAGGCTGTAAGCGGCATTGCACGGGTAATGTTAGGTCACATCATGTGTAGAGCTTCAAAGCTACAATCCCAAGCTCAGAAAATTATGCTTCACGCTTGTTAGACGAACTATCAACAATGAAATGTCTTTAAAAATCATTTCATTGCTATGCTTATTTGATGCGACTGAAGTACAGTGAACTTATCTGTGTATTCTGTTGATGCCCATGTGTGCCACAATAACTAAAATCAACTCTGATATATCATAAAATGGTCAAATAAATAAACAATGGTCGCAACAAGCTGTTAGAATGACTGCTGTTCAAACCTAGCTTCTGGTGCATGGCAGTGAGAAGTCCGGGAACCGCTGACCGCGGGACGATTATGCACTCGCAGGAAGGTACGAACGGCCCAGAACGTTTTACTACAAGAAGGCCGCCTTTGCTGATGGACGTCACCTGCAGGTAACGCCTAGCATCCCGAATTTCGGCCAGCTTTTTGGACGGCCGGGTACCCTGGGCAAGATGGGCTTTTGTGCGGCGAAGATCAGCACACTCGTGCTGGGTGCCATGCCACGCACTGCCGATAGTGAACGGCACGCGGACAGAGCCATTGAGAAGTTCTGGTCGGCGCCCTGGCGAACGGGAGCCTCCTGCAGTGAGGAAATAAACGAGCAAACCTGACATCTTAGCTCATCGCAATCAAGGGGACTACGGCTGGTTGGGTGCGTTGGGATGTTGTTAGACCCGGCCACATGGAGGTCTGAGACACGATGCCGGCTGATAGTAGACAAGAACGCTGTGACGCTGGGGTTGGCCGAGAACTCGCCCATCCGGTATGTTTCTGGTATGCTATGAGTTTCTGGTACGCTTGCGAGCACGGCTTACTGCCAGTCAGGATGGCAGATAATGTGGCTGATTGTGTTATAAATGGTGCAAATGGTTTGTGGCTGCTACGATTCCCGGACTTCCACCTTGCACGGGAGTCAGTTCACATGGTTTTGCGCAGTCTAGCGCTAAAAAAGCCAACTACGTGAGTTGCGGATGATGTACAGCGTTGAACAGCCGATTCTGTGTTGTTTGACTGAGCCAACAGTGACTTTCCACATATGATCGGAAGACCGAGACAGGAGAACAGACTTGTGTCGGCTAAGTGCGTACTGGGCAGACGAGAACACGGTTCCCAGATCCTCAGACCAGTCGGTATGTTCAGACGAATCCAGTCCTGCGCAGACAGCGGCCAGAGGGGGCAGGAGATCAGCAGTTCCTGATTCTACGCGACGGAGAGCTTTGTACGCGCTGATAAAGCTACGCATGTCCTTTACAGTCTTTGGTAGGTCACATGTTGGCAAACTGGCGATGCGATAAAGACTGGCAGGTAGATTGCCTTTCGGACCATATCACATCGATTAAGATCGTGGATCAGGGACAGATGACTGTTTTAGATGCCGGGGGACGAAGGTCACACATGCCGGGTGTTTCTGGCGAGAGCTGCCAGTTCTCGAGAACCTCAGCGGGCGTAGATCCGCCAAAGAACAGATCGTCGGTCGATTGACCACACGCCCTTCCTGAATCAGACTGCCCAGAACGCGGCGCACCAGCTCCTCGCGTGCAGACTCTGAGCCGGGGATGCCCGTTACGCAGCGTGCATAAACACGGGTTCCCTCGTACGGTGTCCAGACGCTACATTGCTTCATCGAATAGGGCGACAGCGGGGGCTGGTAATAGGCTTTAGTCCTATCTGTCGTCACGAGATAGCGCCAGCTACCGATAGTGCGGAGTGTCCACTCGACATCGGGCCGAAGTAAAGGATGGTGCGTGCAGTAGTGGCCGACAGATGTGAATCCAGTGACGAGGCGGGTCTCCCATTGGATTTGTTAACTAAAAACGAAGGGTTGACCTGCTCCATCGTAATGCTGAGGTCTCCTGGTTTCGCACACGCAAACACACCCAGCGTCTCGAGCTCGTCAAATTTCGTCTGTAGGTCGCTTAGGCGGCTGCGTTCCTAGCGTTGCGGAGGTTCGACGGAGCCGGTATTCACAACTCCTTGAATGGGATCTTTTGCGCTGTTGTAACTCGGTAATGCCTTCTCAAAGACAGACACGAACTCTGACCTAAGATCTGTGAATTTGGCTCCAATGTCAGATGGGGGGGGGGGGGGGATCCCGTCAGGATTTCCAGCGCCGCAGAGGCGCTGATTGGAGCTGTTTGCGCCGCGGCCTCATCAGAGGGAGGAGATCGGTCACCACTAGAGTTGGCAGAGGACACCAAATAAATATTACACACATGACCTTGCGAGCGCATATGAACGGGTGACGCGCAAAGATTTGGGACATCAACTTTTCCGGCCACCAGCTGGGTGGCGGCAGGACAGGGCCAGGTCTCAGATAGGTCACCTGGGCGCAGGGATGGTACGGTAGGCTCGACAGACATATAGCAGCTCGGATCAAGATCGGGGACGGTGAGCTCTGTGAAGTCTCCGGGCCAGATGGTCTGGGAGGTCCGCGGGGCGCGTAGCGTGCAGTGCACCCTACGTACAGCAGGAGCACCTGAGGCTGGTGGGTCAGCTGAGTCATGCCTGAAAACAACATTGTTACCTAACGATACAGTGCACTCGGCGGGCCGTTGCGATGATCATTCACGCGCATGAACGGGGTGCCTGCGAGAATATCGGAATCCAATTTGTCAACTATAGTTGACAACTTGACATGGCCATACATGACCTCAGACCTTGAGCTCCGCACAATAGGCTACATCTAGACAACATCTAGGCAACTGTCCAGTTTGAACAGCAGTCACTCTGACAGCGTGTTGCTGGCCATTGTTTATCTATTGGGCCATTCTATGATACATTGGAGTTACCATAGTTATTGTGGCACACATGTGCATCAACAGAACACACAGCTGAGCTCACTGTACTTCAGCCGCACCAGATGACCAAAGCAATGAAATCATTTTTAACGGCATTTCATTTTTGATGGTTCTTCCAATAAGCATGAAGCAAAATTTTCTGACCCTGGGATTGTGGTTTTGAATCACTGCACATTATGCGACCTTCCATTGCCCGCGCAATGCCGGCTATCGCCCTATGTTTAGCTTAACCGTTAATGAGGAGTGCAACTGCAGCCCAAAAGTTCAGGAAATTAAGGCTGATCCACAACGTTACATAAGAAGCAGGCATGAAAACACAGCATGCACATGAATTACAAACTTTTTGCGCCTTATAGTCATGCCTAAGCCGGGGGGTTTTCAAAACCTGTACAATTGGAACAAAAGACAATCGCAAAGCCACGGCAGGAGGAAACATTCCATCCAACAGACAATAAGAAGATGACTATAGACACCCCTCGGCAACAAACCACAACCTGCATCACTTCCAACCTCCCGCGTTAATGCATTCTGAGCACGTGATGATGTGACATCATCATGGCACTAAATCATATGGCACCAGCGTTGCGGCGGCGTGAAAACGCTGTTGTTTGCGGGCTGGTTTCAGCATAAATATTTTCATAAACCGGATTTTTTCGACCCAGCACATTGAATGCAAACTGGAATTGAGCCGCGGTGTTCAGCCAAAAGATCTCACAAAACAAGACCGAATGTAATATTCAGCCGAAAGATCCCGCAAGACCCAAGATACAGCTCAGGATGAAGCTAAGATCCAAACGGAATCAATGTCTAGCCTGGAATGATGTTGAAGGAATCAGCAAGTACCAGAATCTTAACAAAGACTGTCAGCATTTTCCTTGTTAAAAATCTGAACAGGGAAAATACCTAACCGTACTTCCGTTTTTCTCAGAGTTAGAGTACTGGGGCCACTCAACAATATGAAACTACGCCCTTGGCGCTTCTTTCAGTAATACAAATGGATGAAAACAATGTTAACTAATCATGCAATTTACGACCACGATAGCAGGGTCACTTGCATATGACACGTTTCGCTCTTACTGTGTTTGTCAATGTTTTTTTAGACTACGCCTGGTTACGATTGTCGTGTGGCTTTCGTTTAACAAATTTCATTTCAACATACGACGCCAATCAGCATTCAGTATTGATCATAAATTTGCGGTAGGTAGACCATGCGATATGTGCACGGAGGTCCTCGACATGCTTTCTCTTTTCCTACAATAGAAATTCCGCTTCAACATTGAACCATATATTAGTCTTGTGGCAACGATAAATTTTAACGATGTCGCTTCATTACGCAATATTCGTGGACGAAATGTTAGCGCTGTCTTTGCTTGTACGCAGCATTACAAACAGCGCAGTGGTGGCTGTCTTGCAGTGAAAGACGGGTATTGCTTTTGGCAAAAGGGAGATGACAACCATTTCAAAGCTGTGATGTGGTAATTATTCCGTGCTGTCGCATGGTGTATTCTTTAAGGAAAGCAAACACCGTATAAGAGCATGCGCCTGCCTCTTGAATACAGGTCACGACACTGCGGCCATTGTGACGCATTGAACGGTGTTTGTGCCTGCGTGCATTGTTATGAACTGAGGCTTCCCATGTCTTTAAATATCCTGCATTCTTTACTTTGTCAGTGTAAACCCTTTAATTGATGCATGAAATTGCAAAAGACTTGGCGTTTGGTTTACTGAATGTGGTGCAAATGCAAAATTTCTGGTATATTTTGGTGAGAGGCTAGTTGAAATACCACTCTTTCCCACTCGTAAGAAAAATTGCCGTCAGTGCTTAAGATGCCCTTTGAAACAATATAAATTTCATAGTCCGAGCACTTCGATCACTGTTGTCTAAGCAACATTACTGGCATTAGCCAAACAATGCTGTACATTATGCTACATATGACATCAGGGCGTGTCCCTCCTTATCTTCTCCAGTTCAAGGGCAGCTCGATCCGGCGTGCCTCCCTGCGTTTGCTTTTGTTTCGTGTTATATTTGTTATTCTCCTGCTCCCTTTCTCGTTCGTTCCTCTCGTTTCCGCTCTAGTATACTGTCGGTCTCGATATGCATGTCATCAGTGCACGCGACAGTCCATGTATTCCGGTGAACACAGCGCAAAATGGTCAATTGCTAATATATCTGCTGCCTAAGGAACCGAGACATTTTACCAAGGTATTGGGGATGCTACTTGAAAACTAACCAGTCATTTGTCAATGTCCGTAGCTGTAGCTGGAGAAGTGCTTCTTGTGTCCACCGAATCCGCCTCTCAGTCCGCCAAGGGCGTATCCGCCGTTGAAGCCGTATCCGCCGTTCAGGCCGTAGCCGTAGCCGCCTCGTAGTCCTCGGAGGCCGAATCCGCCTCTCAGTCCGCCAAGGGCGTATCCGCCGTTGAAGCCGACCCCGCCGTACCCGCCGTATCCGCCGTATCCGCCGTATCCGCCGTATCCGCCGTATCCACCGTATCCGCCGTATCCGCCGTATCCGCCGTATCCGCCGTATCCACCGTATCCGCCGTATCCGCCGTATCCGCCAAATCCACCGTATCCGCCGTTGAAGCCGTACCCGCCCAATCCGCCATATCCGCCGTTCAGGCCGTAGCCGGCTCCTAGTCCTCGGAGACCGAATCCGCCTCGCAGTCCGCCAAAGGCGAATCCACCGGCACGCCCGCTGAATGGTCCCAAGAACCCGCCATAGCTGGGAGCAGCCGCAGCCACCAGGCAGAGGACGATAGCCAGCTGTAAAATGTATTGAGGCACTTTGTAACTGAACATTGTCATCATGACGATATCCATATATCACCACCCATATTCCATAGGACGAATAAGATATCAGGATAGCGTCTTCTGTACATAGAGGTTAGAAGTGACCGCGTAACATACTTTACATGCTACTAACGTGTCTGTGCACGAATGGATGAACACACCACTACATCGCAAGATGATCTACATATATTTGATATCGCCGGTGGGAAGGGACTGTTGACCCGTCAGGCGTCCTGAACAGGATAATCATACTTGAGTCAATAGCTTCTGCCTAATGGCAAAATGCTTAGTTTGTTATCGTAACACCAGCCAATATAATGCAGCACGTCGCACTTTTCAAGTGGCATTACTTTGAGGCCATCTAATGTTGTTTTACACGAAAATTGTTTGCCGTTTCAGGCATTGTTTGTTTTTGTTTTTTCAGGCATTGTTTGTTTTTGTTTGTTTCAGGCATTGTTCAGGTTTCAGGCCCACCGATGGAAGGTTCTCGCTTCGCGGAAATTGGTGACATACCGCTCTGATTTATCTTTCTTGCAGATGTTTTTTTATTCCTTGTTCTCGTTTAAGGAGGCAATATGTTCTGGCCTTGGCACGGTCCAATCGGATGGGGCAAACATCTGAAATTGATTAGCCTGCCCCCAAAGTACTCTGAAACGGGTTTCTTCCGTTATGATATCCGTTTTCCTACCAATGTTGTGATATGGATCCCCACCCTCAACCACGGAAAGGAAGACCAAAAGTAAAGCAGTCATATTATGGTTGCTCAGTTTTGTTGGCTGACAACCCGCTTTAAGTCAGCCCATCTTAGAAAAATCAAATCGCAGCACATTTGGCCCTGCCTAGACATTTTTTTCCGGCCAATGGCGAAGGCGGATGAGCAGCGCGGCTAGGCTTAAACTACTAATATGAGCTGATGTACAGCTTAGTCCCAACTGATGTACTACTTGTTTCCAACGGATGTGTCACATGAGTAGCAGGGCTCCCCACTGCCTGATGACGTCGATCTCGATTTGAGTTCACGCATGAAAAGGAGATCGACCGTAGCATTTGAACCTACGGAATGACCGTCAGCGCTATCCGGGAAACATATCTCCAGGCACGACGCTAACCAGAGACCGCTACCAGTCATTGACTTAAGGTCGGGGTTTTAGGTGTATCCCTGACGGGTCTTGTAAATGATGGTTAACAGCGTAGAGCATGTGCGCGTTTCCAAAATCTGATGTTTGCCCTCAGATTTATGGCACGGAGGGTGACCTCTGATTTCAGCACTCCAGTCTCCGTTTAAGTCAGTCCGAAAAATAATTATCTGAACAAACGCAGCACTTCATTTCAAGGCCACGTGTGATTTGTTCAAATGTGGCGTAGGACGGTCCAAAACCTACATGTGCGACTGCTCCGTGCGCCTTGGTACAACATGTTCGGGTTATTGTTGGGCGGGGAAGGGGGGGGAGGGGGTGCGACTAATGGTAGTTTCACAAGACACCCACGTTGTTTTTTTTAACATGGACACAGTATCAAGTTTCAGTCGGCGAAGACTCCAGGGAACAAAATACCTCATCTCTTTCTACGCATGTTGGCGGGCGCTTATAACTCACCATCTGCTCAGAGGCACGGCATGAACAGATCAGTTCGAGCTGCGTCAGGAGTTTAAACTGAAGGCGCCAATGCGGCTCCAGAAAACGTTATTAGTACGCCCTCCATTTGTGGAGCTTTTCACGACAGGGTTGAAGTTAAGTACGGCCCAATGGTGAAGTCACTACCTTACCTTCATGATGCTGGCTTGTTATCAGAGGCTGTTAGGCGGTAGAAGTGTGGTGAGGACTGCGCTGCACCTGCTGTTTTATACCACATTTACCCCCACGCGCCCTGCAGCGGAAGGCTCAAAAATGCCCCGCACCAGATGAAATCGGTGCCACGCCCACTTCTGCGAGAGTGAAAGCAATGAGCAAGGTGTTTGCAAAAATACACTCAGGCTTGGAATTTGCTCATGATTCAGTCCCCACCTTGCCTATCTATACGCAATCACGCCCCATATTCCACTCTGCAAGAAATCACGTCAGTTGACGCCAGCGAGGTGTATGCATCAGTCCTGACCGCGGCCCGATGCATTGCCCGCACTTTGTCGGGCTTCTATAGAGTTACTATTGAGCCCGTCCAGTAGATTCAATACCAGGGAAGATCGAAACGGGGCGAAACTTTGCACTGGTATGACCATCCTGCGTGTAGCTGGAGATCTTCAGCTGCTTTTCAGAATCAGTAAGTAAAAATTGTAGCGTAATTTTAAGCATGCACGCCGGCAGTCCGGGACCAGAAACGTCGACGACCAGTGTTTGAACTCTCCATAGGGCGCGTACCATCGGCCCCACAGCTGGTAGTACCCAGCGGCGGCCAATGGGCAGGAAAAAGCGGACACACATCGCGAAGTAGCACGTTGTATCCCCCTATGAAATTAACAGGCACGCATGGAAGGAAGTCCGGACAACAGACATCACCTGTACAATTTTCAGATCAATCCCTCTGAGAATTGGCATTTACAGCTAGCTCCACGACCTGACGTTATGGCGAAATACTTATTGTTTATGTTGCTGTAGGAACACACGAGCTGACGCCGGTCAGCAGCTCAGTCCTAGTGCTGCTCAGGAGACCGTCATTGGTGTCGCCAGTCTGACCACCAACACGCCACCTCACCAACGGGTCTCCACCATGACTTCCCATCCGGCTGTCAATAACCTGGCATCCAGCGTTTATCTGGCCATGTCCATAAATTTTATGACTTAGGAGAATAGGTACGTATATAATAGGTAGGAACAGGTAGGAATAGGTATTTCAGATAGGTCGCTGATCGCTGGTATCGTGGAGGAAAACCACTGATTATGTATAAAAGGGTCCTGCAACGTGCGCCGCGCTCCCTTACTACTTGCTCGAAAAATGGTCGCGAATGAGCCCTGTTCGCCGGGCACCAAAGCCTTGTACGTTTTGCTTAGTGTAGATGAAAGTATCCGATTGTCTTACGGGCTCAGCCATCCCCGCCTCTCTTGTTGGGCAGATGTAGGTCAAAGTCACCATGCCTAAAGATGATTCGAGCACCTAAGTTCAGGACATTTTGAATTATATCCGTGCACTTTTTGGTGCCATTACTGTAAACCGAAATGCGACGCGAGAGAGCACGAGGGCTGTGCCCGGTGTGATTATGACGTCATCTGGTATGATTCATGACACGACACTGACACTGGACTCAAAACTTCGACGCAATTCCACACGGCAGTGCTGCGCATTTCGCGCAACACACTTTAGCGAACTGCCAGGTCAGCAGCAGCCCTGAGTGTTGATGATCACGCAGCTGCGCAACGGCTGACCATGCGACCACCAGAAAAACCGAACCCTGAGTTATGCTATAATCTTACGGTGACGAGAGGACCATGTTTTTAAAGGAATGGGATAAACGTATACATCCAGGTCTGCCGACTTCGGTCAAGGTTTGTGTTGCCAAACAATTGGGGACCAGTAAATGCTGCAGCCGGCCATTTAAAGCTGCAGAATCAGCATTCTTCCATTTAACAGAACTGACTTGGCAGTCGTCCTATTTTACAAACCTTCGTTTCAAAGATGAAGAAATCGTGGTCCAATACAATGCCGATGCCGAAACACAGTGAAGTGGAAAGATCTCTGGCCAGAGCAATATCAAAAGGTGAGGATGACCAACTACTAATACGCTCAGGCTTTTCAACATGCTGATGCAGGCCAGCAATGTTAATGGCATTAACGATCGTGTGTGAAGGAAATCTGAGAAGCCTACCACCGGGCCGCTACAAGAACATATCATGATCACTTCCCATTGGCAACGGCCGCTGAAATATCCGCAAAATATTGCTTCTTTCCTTTCTGTCATATATATCTGACATATGTCATATGTCATATCACCATGTGCAGGAGCCAAAAAAAGCACCCAATGGCACTGGAATAGCGGCCCATGTTCTACATTAATCCACACCCTAATCGTAAATGTACAGCCTACGGCCTTCGGAAAGCCGCGAATTTGGACATCATGCTCCCCGTTGATTGGTAAAAGCATTTCATGTCGTTACAGAATTAAACTCCGGTTCCCATGCCAGTAAACCCCAGATTCCGCACTATGGTAGTGTGTTCAAGGGTCTGGTCTGGTATGTGTTGCGTCGTGTTCTAGGACCCGAGGTAGAAAAGAGATTATAGTAAGCCTGTATACACCTATAACTTAAGATGTGTTATTCGCAGGCACCAATTACGCGTTAATGTTGCTGGCCAGGACGGACCGTTGCCATGTGATGGGCTCATCATTTTTTGGTGGCTAATCTGACGCCGCTAGACAAGTTGCCGTGATGTTAACAAGATCTGCATATGATGAAAAGTACATGGCGTGAAAAGAGTGATCAGGAAACGGGAATGAACAGGAAAATGAGTCAAATGCTATACTTACATTACCGGTTAACCTGCACTGATACATGTTGTACCGTATCATCGAGGTGAACGAAAATGCTAATTTGCAATATCGACGCCAAGTGTGCGGGTCCAGTACGGGAGTGTAGGTGTGTAACTGCATGATACGCAGGCATACCAACGCATTTTAGGTTCATATGCTTGGTCACAAAGTTGCTGGAGCACGCAAAACAATAAAATGTGATTGTTGCAGTCATCATGCAACGTTATCTCGAAACTAAACAAGTTCAGAATTTTCAGTGTCTGAAAAAATCGCAACACATGCACGTCAAATAAAGCAGTCTTCTTCTCTCTACCTGGTATCCATTTTATGCCAGCGGTGTGCCAATTTCCTTGTTCAAATTTTGAACAGTTCTGGCCATACTAGACTATTATGAGACCAAACCACTAAATACTGCACTACTATCACGATGGCTGTATGACATTACGGCACAAGACAATGCGTAAAAGCGGGAACATTTCAAATTGATACGAATGCTTTGTTTTGGTTGGGCTATACATATACTATATGTCATTGGAATCAGAACCCACGAGCAGGAAACACTCAATCTGATATCGGCTAACAATAAATCTGCTTAACATTCCCATAAACATAATTGCATATGATGAACATAAAATATCACGTTTAACATCGCCACTGAATTTGTATCCGCATTTGTCCATACAGACTCGTTACCTGCATACGAGTGCCTTGCTCTCAGTGTTGGTTTGTGGTATCCAATGTTGGTGTCGGTTATTGCACCCTGGGTAGCGATGCTGTGACGTCGTCATGGGACTAAGCCATATGGCACCAACACTATGGCGGCGTGAAAACGCTGCTCATTGCGGGCTGGTTTGAACATCAATATTTTTATAAGCCGAATTGTTTTCTACCTAGCACATTCAATGGAACATCTTCAGTTGGAAAAATAGCGTTGGTTTGCACCAGAGCCGCAGAATTATTGCTGAAATGCGCTTCCAGCCCGCCCGCGACAGCCCGATGGGGTTACCCGTTCACTAGCGATTTACTCCGAAGAACTCTAGCCGGAAGTGCTGAGAAACAGTCTGTGTAAGAGTGCAACATCCAACAGCATACGATGGAAATGAGATGTGGCGGGCCAGACAGGGCCGCAGCACCCTGGGACGCGCATTACGGACTTGAAAGCACATCCTGTAGCCTTAAAGGGAATGTTCCACATTTAAAGATATCGAGATAAGCACCAGATATGACGGGAAAAACTTACTTGTAACTATTGGTAAGCTTTCAAACTTCAAAAACCACCCTAAGTAGTAAAACTTCAAAGTTTGAAAAATGCGCGTCACTGTGTGCTTGCTTGATGGCGTCGTGTAATGGTTTTGTGACGACAGCAATACCTGGTATAATCTGGCAGCCAGACCTAAGGAATACCTCAAAACCCACGAAAGCTGACGCCAACAAGCCATTTCCGTCGCGGGCGCTGTGTTGGGCGGTGGATTAGTAAATAGCTTGTTTGTGGATTCCTTGTCTTGGTACTGGTCGTAAGAGGTTTGGTGGGTTGGTTGGCATACGCAACGTAGCGATCGCCAGCTTCTAGGGCAGATTATTAATAGCAAAGCATGATATACTGTGCAGATTGTGTTGCGCGGCCGCGCTAGGCGAAGGTGCCCGGTACGTCGAGGCACGAGAGCCGCACGAGCTGTGCAGAACGAGGTGTATTGTTGCCGGCGCTCACGGCGGCGGCGGCCGGCTGAGTGGCGCGAAAGAGCGCGGATGAGGGCAACCTGCTGAGTCCTGTCGATTCTGTAACGTTTGATTGTACCGTCGTACTGTACCGTGGCATTTATTATCCGAATCGTAATCCAAATACAAGCTATTTCGGCAGTATGGCGATGGGTGTTCTGGACCCGTCTGTGCAAGACCCCGTGATGACCTGCGGGGTGACGCCGACAGCAAGTCTACAAGCGACTACTTCTGCTCCTACGCTAGCTGGCGCCGCTCGCCAGCCGGCAGCCGCCGCACCGACGTTTGCTGCTCACCCCATACCCGAGTACGACGGGACCGGTGATGTGAGCTGGATGCGTCGTCGTCGTGATGCGTGCAGGGATGCTGTGAAGGGGGTGGCCGCCGAGTCGGTCATACCTCTGCGCCTCGCCGGCGGCGCGTTCCACGTCTGGTCGCAGTTGCCGGTGACCGACCGCTGCTCCTTGGAAGCTGTGCGGGGCGCACTCTACTCCGCGTTTGCCCTCGATCAGTGCGCCGCCTACGGGATGTTCGCCACTCGACGACTGATGCCGGGTGAGGCGGCTGACGTGTTTCTGACCGACCTCCGGCGGCTGGCGGTCCTGTTCGGTGGACTGCCGGAGCGCGCGCTG